AGGGCCAATATTATCATGCCTTATTGAGTAAAGGGCCAATATTATCATGCCTTATTGAGTAAAGGGCCAATATTATCATGCCTTAATCCTATTCCTCTGAATCTGAAGTGGAGAAGTCTTTATTATGTAAATGGACTAGCTTGGCCTTCTTAATGGCCCATTAATAGTGGGGATGGGCAGGAAGCTACAGGCAACTATTCTGTCTTTTAAAACATGGTTCTTTCTTTTCACATCCAGAGAAATATTCTGCCTTTTCAATATTTCCTAGGATATTTCATTTTTCTGGGAGAGGGCTGGATGATAACTTCCCACACTGCTTTGCCTTTTTTTCCTTTTAATGTACTGGCTGTTATGTATTGAATATATATAGTTGTGTTAAGCCCTGCTAAAGTGAAACTAACCTTTAGATGACCCTAACTATTAACTGTAACTGTTTTGAAAGGAAATTTAGAGCATTCATATTTGGGCGGGCTTTTTCAAGGTTGTTTTTTTTTTCAAACAAAGTTATTTATTTATTTTTTGTTGCATATTTTAACTTCTTTTGTGAAGAAAGTGTTGTCCTGGTTTCCCCTCCCCTCTTTTCATCTTCTATTATGTATATTACATTTTACATCATATTTCCATTTTAAATTTCAGTCGTCTTATTTTTATTTCATATTCTTCCCCTTAGTTTGAATTTTTTCTTAATATATAAACAGTATCCTTTTGCCTCTCAAAGTTAATCAAATTTAACATATCATTTCCATCTATTATTCTTTTTTTACTATTAATAATCCTCAAGTTTAATTTTATATAGCAACCATTTCATTTAATTGGTTATCCACAAGTAGTAATTTTAATCTATATCCCACACATTTTATTGAATATATACCGTTGGCTATATTTACTAAGTTTCAGTGTGTGTATAGTGTGTATAATAAAGGTGGGATAATACTGTGTATACAATACACATGCACACTGTATATCCCACCTGTATTATTTTTTACAAATAACTCACAATGGAAAACATATCCTCCTCCTGTTTTCCCCATAATGACAACTCTGTGAGGTGGGTTGGGCTAAGAGAAAGGACACCCAGCTGGCTTCCATTGCCAAGTCCTTTAGATATTGGAAGACTGCTATTGTGTTACCCCAGTCCTTCTTTTCATTAAATTAGACATACCCAATCCCTGCAATTATTCTTTGTATATTTTAGCCTTCAGGCTCCTAATCATTTTTCTTGTTCTTCTCTGCACTCTTTCTAGAGTCTCAAAAAAAATTTTTTTTACATCACGGAGACCAAAACTAGATGCAATATTTCAAGTGTGGTCTTACCAAAGTATTATAAAATGGTAATAAAGACTTCATGTGGTCTTGATTCTAGCCTTCTGTTTATGCAGCCTAGGGCTGTGTGGTCCTAGGGCAGATATAATCCATCAATATCACTATGGGGATGTAATACATAGTGAACAGTCATTAGCTTTCCTGTTTTCTATTCAAATTGTCCAGTCCAGCCCCTGTCCAGTTAATAATTCCAGCAGCATATTGAGTCACAGCTATGGCCCAGATATTGATGTCTTTGTTTGGTATTTCCACCATTCATTTTTGTCTTTTCTCACTCTTTGAATATATTTGTCACTAATTACTTTTTAAATTTGTCATGCTTGATATTATCCAACTGTAAAATGCTCAGATACTTGTTGGCTTCAGATTGATGGCTCCTAATGGTTTGGCCATTTAGCATTTCAATTGTGTTATTGTTCGAGATTTTACTTCAATTTATTTCTACAGTGGCATTTTTCTCTGGGCTATTATTATTATTATTACAGAACATTTCAATTTCCTATATTTTCTGTTACAAAATTACAGCAATCTATGCCACCATCCCTTGGCAAATGAGGTCAAAGGGCCTTGGGATATATCTATGAAAGAAGTTTGTAAGTTCTAGGCAGTGGTGGGTTTCAAAAAAATTTGGAACCTCTTCTGTAGGTGTGGCCTGCTTTCCGGGTCCACTGGTGGAACCTCTTCTAACCGGTTCAGTAGATTTGACGAACCAGTTCTACTGAACTGGTGCGAACTGGTAGGAACCCACCTCTGGTTCTAGGTCTTCAGATTCCTAACTTCTCCTCAAAGCTAGGAGCTTCTGATATAGAAAANATGTAAAAATGCAAGTAGAAAAATAGGAACCACCTTTGGTTGGAAGGTAACAGCATTGCGTGCGCCTTCGGTATTTAGTCATGACGTCCACATGACCACAGAGACGTCTTTGGACAGTTTTTGGCTTTGAAATGGAGATGAGCACCGCCCCCTAGAGTCAGGAACAACTAGCACATATGTGGGAGGGAAACTTTACCTTTACCTTAGGGCCAAGCTTGAAATCAAGAATTGTGACTAGGCTTAATAGAAACCAGATGTATTTCTCTCTCCCTCCTTCCCTCCCTCCCTCTCTCTCTATCTCTCTCTCTATCTCCCCCTCCCTCCCTCTGAGTATGTATGTGTGTGTTTGGTTATATTCTTTGTGGGGATTGGAGGTTTTCCTGGTTGTTATTACCTAAGAACAAACTTCTTGTCTTTCTTTGCAGGGCAAAATATTATCTATCGAGGATGTTTTAAAGTACCAGAAAATTTAACAAACATCTTGCCAGCCTCATTAATACATTCCAATTTGACAGTGGAGATGTGCTCCGAATTTTGCTCCAAAAAGGTAAGAATTCCTTTTCCTTATTGTTCCTCCCTCCCTCCCTTCTTTCCTTCCTTCCTCCCCTCCTTTCCTATCTTCTTTAATATATTATTATGGTTGGTCACATAGTTGAATGTTGTTTAATAAGATATTGCTGCAGGATTTAAGCTGTTCCAAGTACAGGTAATCTTTGACTTAACAATAGTTCATTTAATGACCATTCAAAGTTAGTACAGTATTGAAAAAAGTGTCCTATGACTGTTTTTCACACTTGTGAGGTTTTTCACACTTATGACCATTGCAGCATCCCCATGGTCACATGTTCAAAATTCAGATGCTTGGCAACTGGCTCATATTTTTGACGGTCGCAGTGTCCCGGGGTCACGCGATCCCCCTTTTGCGACCTTCTGGCAAGCCAACTCAATGGGGAAACCAGATTCACTTAACAGCCGTCTTATTAACTTACCAAACTGCAGAGATTCATTTAACAACCGTGGCGAGAAAAGTTGCAAAATGGGGCAAACACGCTGAACAAATATTTTCACCTAGCAACCGAAATTTGGGGCTCAACTGTGATCGTAAGTTGGAAGACTACCTTTAAAGCTGCCTTTTGCAATTGACCACTGGTGATTTTATCAATGCCAATGGTATTCCAGATGTTTTGGAACCAGATGTTTTGGAACTGTAACCAAGACTGCTATTACCACTGGCACTATCTTTGCTTTCTATTGTCACAATTGTTCTCCCGCTGTTTGCAACTCTGTATATTTTGTGATCCCCCCCCCTCTCTCTCCAGTTCTTTGTATTCTATTCCATCCCATCATCTCCAGGAAATGCAATATCCACTAGATAGACATTTTTTTTTTCTTATCAACAATTGTTAAGTCTGGGGTGTTCCCAGAGCACTTTAGCCTCTTCATTTCGTATTGCTTCGTCTTATTTGTAATCCCATCAATTCTTGCTTTCCGGCAAGTAGTATTTCCTGGAGATTTCCTATGCATCATTGTTGCTACCTTGTTATGCCATTGTTTGCAGTCACCCCGTGTGATCTTCTTGCACAAGCTAACCAGACGGTCCTCTGTTTCCTGGTCCTCTTGTTTCCTCAGCTTCTTTACAGACGGCATTTCCTGTCTGTTGTGCCCTTCTCAATTCTGGCTTTGTATACATTTGTCCTTAAGACTTGATCTTATGCAGACAGAATTAGCTCCTCTGTTTCTTTCGTCAGCTTTCCTGCTCTTACCCATCCATCCCTAGGCCTTTTTGTTACCTGCTGATGAAAGAAATGTCCTTCTGGGTTCAGCTCCAAGTGGGGAAAAAGACACTGGAGACATGGAGGCTGCTTGGAAAGATGGTTTATTGGTGGACACGACCACATGGCTTGAGCCCTGAACAGAAAAGGTGATCACATGTTTCAATATTGATG